CCTAACCGATCCAATCCAAATTCTAAGAAAATCCAAGCCGAATTACTAATTCGGTTTGGTTTTTGGATTCGGTTCAGTTTTAATCTGAATTACTTACACCCCTAATGTTTATGAATATATAGCTAAATATGATATATATGTGTGTGTGTGTGTGTGTGTGTGTGTGATAAGTAGATAAAGTTTAAGAACACAAACACTTAGTCACCGAAATCCGCAAACACTTGGGCACCAAAATGAACAAGATTTACAAACACTTAGGCACCAAAATTCAAAATCAATTAGGCACCAAATTCAACAAAAATCACAGACACTAAGTCACCTAAATGGTGTGGGCTACCTTCCTGGGCTACTACAGTTTTCTAGGCTGCTGCTTGGGCTGTTTAGCCGCTTATGCAACTCCCTGGGCTGTTGCACCTGCCTGGGATGTTGTAGATACATGGGCAATTGCCTGGGCTACTACGGATTCCTGGGCAACTCCTTTCACGTTGCTTGATGCAAATTTTAGCTATGATATATGCTTGTGTGTTTGTTCGGTGCAATAATGGAAGCAAGTAATTGAAGGAAGGAAATAAAAGCATACCTCATCAAGGTGTTGAGTTTTCGTGCAACTACTGATTTTGTCAAACATAAACATCATCACGTATAGGCTCAATCAATTTCGTTGTCTTGTTGCGCACACTGATATACCTCAAAGGTAATTTAGTCATGCATAGCCATATCCGAAACTAAGTTTATTGAACAAATCACTATATTGAGGCATTACCAACCTTTGCATTCCTCCAAGTAAGACCCACAACAAGCTGACAATTTAGCTTTTTCATAACATTTTAGGAAAATATTTTCAAAGTTAGAAACATAACTACTCAATGACTTTGGTGAATACATCGATCCAATAACTGTGCATCGCATATACAATTTAAAACGTATAAAACAATGCTTGATTTAGGATTGGAATTATTTTTTTTTAAAAAAAAATATCTTATCACAAAAGCTATTATCCTAATATGTCACGAACACATTTAAAATTTATTTATATTTAATAAATTCAATTGCCACATAATTAACAACAACGAATTAGGTCGCATTATTTACAAAAATAAAATTAAACTTTTGAATATGCAATAGAAGTTTAATTATCAAATTATTATTTGTTATATTATGTTTATAACTACAAAGTATTAAATAGTAAAATGAATCAAATAATAATAAATAAAAAAAAAAAACTTAGGTCTAACTAGCATGAAGGAGACATTTTTCAGAAGCATCTGGCGTGTCAAATAAGAAAAGACATTATTTCAACTAATGAAAAAGAGATTTGTGTTTTACTTTAGAATTGAAAAAATTAATCACCACGTAAGAAAATTTAACAGATGATATTTGATAGTTTAAAATTATATGCCGGTTTAAAAAACTACAATTAGTGATCTGTTAAAATTATTTTTAAAACAAAAAAAAATTAAAAATATTTTGAATTTTACATTAATTTTTTTTTTATACTAATAGCATATATAGAGAGAAATTTAGAATATGGAATCTATTTTTTAATATATAAACAAAAGATTCAAATCGAGAATAACATTTTGAAAATGAAGGAGTATATATATAAAAAAAATGCATAAGCAAAAATCCTATTTCGAACAATAAAACAGAAATTATAATTTATTTTTGAATTAAAATTTTAAATTTTCACATAAGCAAAATTAACGAATAAGGTTTGAGATTTTAAATTCAAGTGTTACGTAAAATAAATGAAACAACAGTTAAAATAAATAAAAATATCTTATGATATTAGAAATTTTATCCAAATATCCAATAAATGAGATCTATAAATATACAAAAACTTAAATTAAGTAAAGGATTACAATTTAATTAAGAATTGAAATATAGAGAAATAACAATGAAATTGTTATATCTTAAAAAAAAATTAAAAAAAAAATGTCTATCCATAACCATTGAAAAAAATATTTATAAATTTATTGTGTTTTTACAAAAATCAATGGTCATATAAATAATATATATTAACGAATGAAATTTGATAGTGTTATTTCAAGTGTCGGGGTGAATAACTACTCCTTATGATTTAGGTTTTAAATTATTTTTTTTAAAATTAAATTTTTTGTTATAATATCCAATGAATAATATCACATTTATATTTTAGTTATTAATTATAAGTTATTCTTTAATAAAATTTATGCACGAAAAAAACGTGTATCAGGCTTTCATCTAGTACTATATAATAATAAAGAGACATAGTAGTAAATAATTCTTATTAGTAATGTGCAATAGAATAGTCACAAGATGTTGGGATAAAGCCATTCAAGAATAAGGAATATTTTTTTTTTTAGGAAAGAGTAAGGAATAGTTGGTAACATTTTTTGGATCCCCATTAATTTTGGTCTATGTGACACATATATTAAACCAAAAAGGTTAATAAAGCCAATTATATTATAATGATTTCTAGTAATTAGTGATAAAGTTGTTTGGCTTATAGCTTATTGACGAGGCTTTTTGCAATGCCGGAATCTAAAATAATTATTCGTTGATGGTTAATTTGTCGGATCGCAATCCGTGGACGTATTAAACTACCGAGGACTTAATTTTAGATTATCAAAACATTGTTCTACGAGTCATTCTCATGCAGGAAGATAAAGGTCTTATTTATTCATTTATTTATCAATCTATTTATTTATTTTATGGATGTTGTTTTATGTTTTAAATTTGATTTATTAAGCATATCTTGCAGGTACTTATGTGAAAATACTTGCGGAGGAAACAAGCTAGTCCTAGATCTCCATGCAAATTAAATGAGTAGAAATTTAGAGTTCTACGTACATACTTTTACAAATATCTTTATAAACATTCAATAGTAACAAAACCGCTAACACATACAACAAATTAAAGATAAACAACCAGTCTTTACAATCAACTAAGGGCTTGTTCTCATTGACTGAACTCAGCTGAACTGAACTGAACTGAACTGAACTGAAATGAGCTGAATTGAAGTGAACTGAACTGAACTGAACTGAATATTTTATAAGAGAAGGAAATTAGGAGTTGAACTGAACTGAACAGAATTGAGCTGAACTGAACTGAACTGAACTGAAATGACTGAATTCCACGTAAGAGAACAGGCCCTAAGCCAAGGTGAACAACTAACTAAGCCAAGATGAACATCTAACTTTTGACAAGCAACAACTAATTATAACAAGGCCATTGGCTTACCAAGTTCAAGACAATTTAAGTTAATTATATGGTTAAACATGAAATAATTATTTATATTATGCAAAGAAAGCTACATAATAAGACACTACATACTATATAAGTAATATGTATTTGTATGGATCTGAATGGAATAACATTGATTGTTACACACTATTAAAATTGTCCCCAAAGCCATTTACGCTAATAGTTATACAATGTAATGAAAAAGTGATCATGAATTTGAACCAATAATTATGCTAATGTATCTAGATCAAGGAAGAACTACATTGATTTCTTTTACTTTCTATGTGCCAAATAGTTTTATGAAGCTAAATCCAAATAGGAATTTGGAATATATCATTTAACTAAATGAAATGTAGTTTGTCATTAAGGTTAATGACATCTTAAAAGCACAAAACATATAAACCAACGTAGAAATTTAATAAAACAATTGATATGAGCACGCCATTAGGTGACACATTACATAGAGACGCCAACATCCCTTGCTTTTAAAGACAGCATTATATTTGTTTTATGCTAACAAACATCAATTCGAACCCCTCTTCAATTGTGATATTTTCCATCGACACATGCAACGGATGAGCTACTTCAATTGGGATTGGTCATTTAAGCACAATTACTCTAAACTAGGTGATACTGTCGTCAAACTTTCTACTAGTTTCGAAATGTTGATCTTTATTTCTTTACTATATCTTTAGTACATTATATTATAGTTCAAGATAAGATATCATATTAGGGATATGGTTCCAAAATAATTAGAGATCCCAAATTTTGAGCCTTGTGAACTACGTCCTGCGATAATGAAAGATTTTCATGCTAATTCTAGCTCGAAATTGTTTGTTAATTAGTCAAAATTTAATAAGTTGATGAGAGAATAAAATATCCTTTGTTACAACTATATTATTTAAACAATTTTTTTTTTAGTGCTTAGAGAGCCACAAGGGCAGGGATTGATGAGAATCGATTCTAAAATTTCCTGAAATCGGGAGAAAAGCTTTAGCCACTTGAGTTATCCCTCACTTTCATATTACTTAAACAAATTTTTATATATTACTTTACTCCGTTCGTCATTTATTTTTTGCAGGCCAGGTGAGATTACTTTTTTTAATATCTAGTTGAAGGGAGTATATGAAATAGAAAACGGGTGGGTTTAATATTTTGGTTGTGAGACTAAAAGTGTAGTTGTCCTTACACATTAAAATAGTAGAAAGCGAAGTTAAAGGGACAGATTAAAAAAAAAAGGTAGGACAAGTATTTAGGGACATAATTTTTTTTATATATATTTATTTTATTTTAGAGAGCCACAAGGACACGATGAGAATCGCTCCTTGAATTTCTTGGAATCATTAGGAAAATTCTAACCATTTGAGTTATCCTTTACCCTCATTTACATGGACATATGTAGCAACATAATAGATGATATAAATGCTCAACTATGGCCCCGTTTGGTTTGATGTAAAATGTTTTCATGGAAAATGATTTTTCCTTTTTTTTTCATTTTCCATTGTTTGGTTTGTGAAGGGGTGGAAAACAATTTTTCCAAGGGTGGAAAATTCATCTTTAATGATGGAAAACATTTTCCTTTACAAAACAAGGGAAGTCACATTTTCATCTCTCCTCCTTACCTCCTTGTTTACTTCTCTCTCATTCATCCTTACATTTTTACTCCTTTTTGTTTTTGTTTTTTCTTGAACTTTTCTTGTATGCAGCCAAATAGAGGAAAACTATTTTGCAATTGTGTTTTTTCTTGAAAATATATTTTCCATGAAAACTAATTTTCCATTGAAAATGTTTTACATCAAATTAAACAGGGCCAAAGAATAATGAAACAAGTAAAAGTAATTTCACGGATGAGATGATACTTGTTCAGTCCTATTTCATCACACCCAAAATTCTTGTCATAAAAAATAATTTTTCTTTTCTTCGTTTTCTTGTATCCATTTTAAATAGTTTCATATGAAAATGGATCCTAAATTGGGTACTAACGAAATCTACTGACGAAGTAACCTTGTCAATAATGAAAATTGTTGATTGCAATCTAATAACTAAGTTTCATCATCAACGAATTTATTTCATGTGTAATTGCTAGAAATCATGTCAATTTCTACAATGTCTAAATTTCATTTCTCCAACATACAAGAAGATTACATGAATTTTCCGTCATTAAATCATACAATATCATACAAAAATGCTTGAAACATAATTTTCTCTAACCAATCAATGTACACATATTAATATAAGTGAACGCTTTGGGGATTTGACGAGCTCAACTCTTCTAGTAGCTTACTCCAAAAAAAAAAAAAAAAAAAAAAAAAAAAGGAAATTCAATTCCCCGAAGTAACAAGCTTTGCAACAACCGCAACCTGGAGCTCTAACTCGTATAGTTGCGGTGGGGCAGGGGCGTGGGCGGCATTAGAGACACTAGAAGATCAGCAAAAGCTTCAATAATGAACTTATGAGTATGTTTAGGATTTAAGTTGAGATAACAAAGGAGAAGCTCCCGTAAATACTCCGACAAATCATCACTTTCATCACTAACATCTACTAGATTATGTTGATTATTTAGCTTCATTTCAATCTTCCTAGCCTCAATCATCTCCTGCATTGACCTTCGGAAGTCAATGTAAGGGTTGGGAGAGTCCTTTTTTATCGGGACTCCTCCGCCCACCAGTTTCTCCTTCATCTGATGCTCATCATCGTCGGAAGAAGGGGATTCCAAAATAGAGTTGGAAAGACCGGGGGTGGAGACAAACAACCGTTGGGAGGCGAAAATAGCAGAAAGATCAGGACATTCGTCAGTGGCGATGGCTGAAGAGTTGGAGAAAGAGGAGGAAAGGTTATTATCGAGAAAGATGGTTGTAGTTGCCGCACTCGACGATGAGGAGGTGGAGGGGTTGTCGTAGATGATATTGAAGTTGTTAAGTATGGACGATGATGGGTGAGGGTTGTTGTGGATGGTAATGAGGTTGTTAGGAATGTGATCAAAGTATTCATCGTCGTTGTCGTCGTCGTGGAGGGTTAATGGAGGGGAGAGAGAGGTAAGTAAACACTTGATTTTGGAGAAGCAAAGGTGGAAGTGATTCCTGATAATACTCGGCATTTTGGTGATAGTTTTGGGTTGGTGGTGTGTTGTGGGTTATTCCAGGAAGAAGGGAATGAATGGGTTTATAGAGTTTGTAAACAAGGTTTATTTTATGCGGGTGTTGCCGGACGCTCGGCTTTTTATACGGAGTATGATGTTAGTGGAACTGTTCTATTAGTTTATTTGTTAATTTTTTTTATTAATTTATAAATTCTACTTTGTAACCTTTTTTTTTTTTTTTTTTTTTTTTTTTAATTCTGTATACGACACGTCTAAAAATATGCCCTCACTTGTTATTTAGGTGCCCCAAATTGATTGGTATATTAGTTAATGCACAAGTTTAACTAGTTATAATTTTTATATCTTCTATTGGTTATATTATGACATTTAAACAATGGTATTAGTTTTGAGCATATATTTCGTATTATATATTGTAATATTTGTTAAAGATATACACAGGTAAAAAGCATTAATATATATAATAGTTTATGTTGATATATAAACTTTTATATATCTAGGTGTACATAAAGATAGTTACATGCTGCTAAAAATTTAAGGTTCCTATATATAACACAAAATCCCAACAACAACTCTCCGGATAGTCCACAGATAAGCCATTTGGAAATCCATGGATGAGAGTTTTGGTGAGGCGGCTGCACCGGATCAGCCCTCGATGGATATATGAAGATCATCTCTTGGAATTGTAGGGGTCTCAATGACACACTAGCCCCTACACATCCATATTTAGTGTGGCTTATCTCTACTAAATTTCCTTTGTTCTTGTTTTTATCCGAAACTAAGATGCCTTTTGTTGATGTAAAACTTGTAGTTAGTTCATTCTCTCCAAATTTTTCTTATGGAGTGGATGCGGATGGTACTAAGGGGGGTCTAGCGGTTTTTAGTTGGTATCAAGGGGTTGTTACTTGTGTTTTGGCTACTCCGAACTACATTTTGTGTAACCTTGATGATGGTAATGGAAGTAATAGAAATGTGATGTTTGTTTATGGAGAGCCTAAAGTAGAAGATAGAACTAGAGTGTGGGATGAACTCACTACTCTCCTTTTGATAACTCCTAATTGTCTTTTGATTGGTGACTTTAACCAAGTCGAATGCTTACAAGACAAACTAGGAGGCTCTTTAGTAATAAAGGGTTTGGATGCTTTCATTGATTGGCGGCTTGACAATGGGGTACTCGAAGTTCCTTTTTCGGGGCCTCGGTTTACTTGGACTAATAAGCGCTTGGATAATGGTCTCATCTTAGAACGGCTTGATAAGGCTTTTTGTACGGATCAATGGTTTGCGGATTTTCCGGAAGGAAGAATTTTTCATGAGCCAATAGTAGTTTCGGATCATGCAGTCATTATTTATGATTCGAATCCTTCTATGCCTCGGTCCAATCGTCCTTATCAGATTGAAAGGTGGTGTCTACGATATAATTCTATCGAAGGGATGACTAATGATATTTGGGATATCACCATGAATGGATTTAGCATGTTTGTTTTAGCCAAACATCTTAATTTATTCAGGAACCGTGCTCAAAAATGGTGCTTGGATAATAGGACTTTTTGGGGTGTCAATTGGCGGTCCATCACAAATGATTTAAGTAACCAAGGCAATGCAATTGTGACGATCAAGGAAGGTGAAGAGTATGTAAAAGGGGTAAATGACATTATCCCTAAGTGTAGGTTGGACTTTCATCACTGGCAGCAACGACTGAAGGATAAATGGGTTAGAGAGGGTGATTTTTCTTCTACGACCTTATTTAACAGGGTTAAGCAACGACAAAAACGGAAGGAAATCCTATCCCTCAAAAATGATGATGGTGAGTGGGTTAGTGGCCATGATGATATTGCCGATTTAATCCAAGGTTCGTTGAAAAAAGTCTTCATTCCGAGCCTTTGGACTGGTAATCAGCTGGAGGATGATATTGACCTTTTATTCCACGAAATGGCTTTCCCTCAATTGGATGAATCAGAAGCGTTGGCGTTGGTTAGACCTTTTAGTGGCTAAAAGATCCGGAAGGCGATGTTCTCTATTCATCATCGCAAATCTCCAGGTCCGGATGGTATCATTGCTAAATTTTTTCATGTCCATTGGGACTCGGTTGGGAGTTTGGTTATAACAGTTGTTCAACATTTCTTTGACATTGGTTTTATGCTAAAGGAGTTTAATGCGTCTCTCCTCGTTATGCTTCCAACAGTTGTTCAACATTTTCGTCCTATTAGTCTTTGCAACACCATTTATAAGTGCATCACGAAATGTATGGTGAATAGGATGAAAGGTTCTCTGCCGGTCTTGATTACAGAATTCCAACATGCTTTTGTGCCGGGTCGATATATGGAAGACAATATTCTTCTCAGCCACGAGTTGACTCATGTTATCTCTAGCACGCGAATCAAGTCCCCTATGGCCGCTTTGAAGATTGATATGTCTAAGGCCTATGACCGAGTCAACTGGATTTTTATCCTCAAAATTATTAAGGCTTATGGTTTCCCTGAGAAGTGGGTTCGATGGGTTGAACAATGCATTACTACTGTCTCTTACAAGTCTCTAGTGAACGGAAGGGTCACGGAATCTTTTAAGCCTGAGTGTGGTCTGCGTCAGGGGGATCCCCTCTCTCCGTATCTTTTTCTTTTCTGTATGGATATTCTGTCTAGGATGCTCCTCCTAGCGGAAGATATTGACCTGATCAAGGGGATAAAAGTTGTTTCGGGGTTTTCTGATGTCCTGCGGGAGAGTTACAATTCCGAGACTGGAACCGGACGCCTGTACCTGCAAAATAACGGAGACTCCTGAGAGCTCCGCCTCCAACGGTCAAGTTAGTACCTGATTAAGGAGTAATTAATACAGAAATTAAAGTAATAAGGTCTCTCTAGGTGAGAGTATTTAATGTAGGTAATCTGCTTTGCTAGCGAGATCAGCCGGTTATTAGTGTGTTCCGTAATGTATTCGGTCCCCTGATTAATGAGGATTAATCGAGTATTTATAGCCTTGGGAAGCGTGCAACTCTCTAGGTTTAAGGTAAACCTAGGGCCGATCGGGCTTCTAGACTGAAATGGGCCTTGATGGCCGGTTGTCCCATTTGGCATGGGTGGACACGTGGCGTGTCTTAAGTGGTCCGTGGAGGACGCGTGGCGGAACCTGGTTGGTCCACTTGTCAAACGGCGCTTGGTGGATAAAAATCCCCTAATCATTTGCCCCTCACAGGTGGCACGCGACTGGTCACGTGTCGCCTGTGACAGGCGTCGCACGGTGACAGGCGACGGCCCGTTACAGGTGTCACCTTGCAGACGGCCGGGAGACTCTCCCGCCCAAATTTGAATTCGGAAGCGACCCTTCGCCTTCTCATTTTGCCTATAAAAGGAAGTGCTGACTTCGGTCATTTTCACATTTGAGAATTTTTGCGAGAACATTCGGACCCCTGAACTTGCTCTGACATTTTCGGACTTTTTCTGCCTACCGCCTGTTCTGACAAGCCGACTGACCCGAACTTTCAGGACTTCATCAACTGTCATCCGTTCAGGTAACTCAGTTCTCTTACTCTTAATTTTCTTTTTATTTTTTGAAATGGCACCATGGAAGCACACGACACGCCCTAAGTTAGTGATCAGCCGGTCACCGGGGACGGCTGAATCTAGGACTAGGAGTGCCGCCTGCCCTTTTCTGGACCCATCTTTGCCCTTTATACAAAGTCCGACTGAATCTGTGTCTATGCAGAACGTGATGGCCAGAACAAAAAAGACTGCTAGAATATCAAACTCAGACGGCTCCTCCCAAAGGGTACTCCTTAGCGAAACATCTGACCAGGCGCCAGATGTGGAACGAGGCGACTGTCAAGCTGACAGTTCTGAGAGAGGGACCAAGGTGTTCCCTTCTCATCTAACCGTGGACATGTCTAATTTACCTTCTGCTCCTTCTAAGGGAGAGGAGGCGGGCCCCTCTAGGAGAGGGGAGGAGTCGTCCTCTTCGGACTCGTCAGGGGACGAGTCCGATTCCAGCTCTTCTGACCATAGTTCTTCTGACTCAGAAGAAAAACATAACCGCCTACAAGAGGCGAGAAGTTCCCATGCAGTGGAGAAGGGGGATAATTGGGCAGAGCCGTCCGCCTCTTACAGAGAGGAAAACACCCCCTACTACTGCAGGGTGCCCCGGGGCCGGATCGCAACCATGCGAGACAACGTGGCGAGCTTTATTGCTAACCACAAAATGGGCCCGGAGTATTTACTGTTTGTGCCGGATCGGAAAAACAAAGAGGTAAAGGCCGCAAAGGCTATGGCCGCCTCCAGCTGTGATAAAGCAATGTTTCAAATTGCCCAAAATGAAGTACTGACCATTGATCTTCTTTATTATCAGGCGCAGGCGACCGCCGCTGTTCGGGCTCAGCTAGAGGCGGCCCAAAAGAAGGTTGACGAGCTGGAGGGGACCGTCACCAAACTTAAAGCCGAGCTGAAGCCCCTTCGTCAGAAAATGCACTCTTACGAAGCCATGGAGAAATCTTTGGCTAACGTAAAAGAACGCCTGGTGAACCAGGAGAAGAGTCTTACCCAAGAGCTCTCGGACAAGGCCGAGCAAGAAAAACAAGAGCTCGTCCGGGAGATGGTGGAAGACTCCGCCCAAATCCAACGCATGACCTGGGAACGACTGTTCCCCAGTGCCGACTTTGCCTCATGGGAAAGAACGTACCGCCAGTGTTCGGAAATATATAATCAACAGATCCTGGCGGCTGCTGAAGAAGAGGCGATGGACGTTGCGTTGGAGGAGGAAGAGCCTGTTGTGGCGCTTGTGCCACTTGGGGGAAAGGCATCAAAAGATGATGCAGCGAAGGCCGAGTCCAGCAAGAAGAGTGCTGACCAGGCGGCTGCTGCTGATACTGAACTGCCCCCTTCTTAAGCTTTAAGTATATTTTTTCTTTTTTCACGGCCTGCGTGCCGTTTGCTTTGTAATTACCCGGCCAGGGGGCCGGGGTTTTGTATATTCTGCTGGTCTTTTATGGCCGGCTCATTTTAATCAAATTTTTTGTTTTTGTTCAAATTTGTCTAAGTATTTGAAATTTGCTCACTAGACAGACTGTTGTGTATGGCCGAACGTTAAGACAGGTACAAATAGTAAGTATGCCGCCTAAGTATTTGAAATTTGCTCACTAGACAGACTGTTGTGTATGGCCGAACGTTAAGACAGGTATAAATAGTAAGTATGCCGCCTATGCCCCTGGACGACTGGTTGTCTGTTTCCAGGATAGATGATCAGTCGGCCATTTAATCAATCGGTATTCGAACTCTTTATTCAATTTGACCAAGTAAATAGAATTACCAAGTAGCCAAGGAATTTAAGTAGGAAAACAAGCGGCGGGTACCGGTTGTTTCCCTTTATTGCCAATGTTGGCCTCTAATTTGTTATTTGTTAACCTAGCAAGAGTATTGGTTGAGAGCCTTTGTTTATTAAAAACAAGTGGACGACTCGTACCTTTTAGGCTCAGTACTAAGTTTGAGTGACTATTAAGTTAACATAGGAGTTACTTAGTCTTCGTCACAATCTTGATTGAGTAGTAAAGGTATCAGGCGGCGTAGGCCGGCTAGACCCCTTGATTTACCAATGTTTGTTGGCTATTTACTCAATAGGTTATCCAGTAGGAATAGGGGTTCGAGTGTCCTTGTTTGTATAAAACAGGCGGACGACTCAAACTTTTTAGGTTCCATACCAAATTTGAAGGAGTGACTATGAGTTAACTTTGGAGTTACTCAGTCGCCGTCACTTTTGTTTGAGAAGTAGAGGTACCAGGCGGCGTAGGCCGGCTAGACCCCTTGATTCGCCAATGTTTGTTGGCTATTAACTCAATAGGTACCCCCTGCATTTATCCCAAGTAATACAGGCGGTCATCTGACTCAGATGTCAACTGCTACCACTGGTTTGGTTAGTGATAGAGTTATCCTTGTCTCAAAAACGGCTACGTGGTTGCCCTTTGGGACAGTCGTATAGGTGCCGTGTAATTAGTTTATAGAACAATGTTCCACCCAAAAGGGAGCTGCTCTCTGCGACGAATTTCATCCGAATGGATGCCGCCGGACGCCTGCTATAATGTTGGGACAGGTCGGATTAGTTTTTAAAAGTTAGATCAGTTGACTAGGCGCCTGGTCTGATCATTCGGCCGGTGGCCTTGGTAAGTTCTTGGTGAACGTAGGTGCTAAGTCAAAGAAGGGTAGCCGCCTGTTAGGCACAGGGTCGGCCAGGCCCTAATCTTTTTAGCTAAGTATTGTGAGTAAAATACTCAATGGAGAGTAGCCGACTGTAAAGGTACAGACGGCATGCCCCTCTGATGATAGAGTGAAAAAACTCAATGGAGAGTAGCCGACTGTAAAGGAACAGACGGCATGCCCCTCTGAAGATAGAGTGAAAAAACTCAATGGAGAGTAGCCGACTGTAAAGGTACAGACGGCATGCCCCTCTGAAGATAGAGTGAAAAAACTCAATGGAGAGTAGCCGACTGTAAAGGTACAGACGGCATGCCCCTCTGAAGATAGAGTGAAAAAACTCAATGGAGAGTAGCCGACTGTAAAGGTACAGACGGCATGCCCCTCGTAATACAAAATTGAATAGTAAGTGCCAACTTTATTAAGTAGCTCTTTACTTTACATCATTCAAAAGAAATATTTCTTAAGGTTATCTACATTCCAAGTTCGAGGCAACGGTTGTCCGTCTGGTGTTTCCAGACGGTAGGTACCGTCCCTGACTTCCGCATAGATTCGGTAGGGTCCTTCCCAGTTGGGAGTTAGTTTGCCAGACTCGTTAGCCCTACCAACTGCTTCCATTTTTCTAAGTACAAAGTCCCCTACTTTGAGTGGACGCCTGTGCACTTTTTTGTGGTATGATCTAGTCATTCTCAGGCGGTAGATTTCATGGCGCAAAACAGCATTGCCCCTCTTTTCAGGAAGTGAGTCTAATGCCAGGCGCATAGCTTCCCAGTTTGCCTCTTCGTCATATAGCATTACTCGAAGAGTCGGCTCGTAGTGTTC